TATATATATATATATATATATATATATATATAGTTTAATTGATATTTTTGAGCTCGGAGCTCGGGTACCTCCTTTAGTGTGAGTCTTTGGGATTTTTTCACATTTGATCTCCCAGGCCTTAAAACTCAATAGCTCTGTCCTGTTTTTGACAGTTGATTCATGTGCATTTGAGATCACGTGTGAGCTGACAACAGCAACTTCAATTCTCTCAGTGTCTTTTTTTTCTCTCTCTCTCTGTCTCACATTCTTTCTCGACAGTCTCATTGCCCATTTTGTCAATCATAGTCGGTTCAGCAGCATTTAGTGACTGTCGCTTGACGATGTGTTATTTCTCCTTTACCATGGTGAAAGTGTTGCTATATCCGTGCACACGGTGTTCAGACATCACGTCTTTGGTAGAAACCCAGACAGTCCTTTCCTATTTTTATAGTATGCACTTGAACCTTATATTTTAATTATATAAGCATATTAAAAAATTTTAATAATTCGATATAGTTACAGAACATGTGTGTATGTATGTATGCATGTATGTATATATATATTTTATTTTATTTCACATTTTTTATTATTATTATCATTATACTTTTATTAGAAATATCTTTTTAATAAACCTGTGTGCACTCACTAACACACATTGAGTATGCTCAAGCACCATAACACACACATTATTCAAAAATTTTAATAATTCGTTATAGTTACAGAACATGTGTGTATGTATGTATGTATGTATGCATGTATGTATATATATATTTTATTTTATTTAACATTTTTTATTATTATTATCATTATACTTTTATTAGAAATATCTTTTTAATAAACCTGTGTGCACTCACTAACACACATTGAGTATGCTCAAGCACCATAACACACACATGTAGACACACTTCTTTAGGTTAAAGGGGGTGTTTGGGATGTGCAGACCTATGAGTAAGCCACTCCGTCCACAAACGAAAAGAGCAACCTTCAGTAAAGAGCACAATGCTCTCCTGTCCACTGCTTTTCTTACACCTTCACATTAAAACTCCTGTTTACATTGGGCCGTCCAAATGCTCAAGGGGACGCTTCCCTGGAGAGAAAGCATTTTTATTCTCGGCTTCTGTGGTTTAGCTTCAGACCTCCCGGTTTATCCTCCCGGTTTTTTCTCTTTCCATCCATCTATATCTTTAGCAGTTCTTCTACTCTTTCTCTGTCAATGGATTCTTTTCATACCGTCAGCATCACCCTAAAATTATCACATGCTTACGGCACATCACAGTGACCTCACTGACAGTGATGAAATATTACATTCAGGACGACTTAAATTGAGAGCTTTTGAGGTGACCACAGATGGTGCTCAGGATGTGGCCTTGTTCTAAACCGGGTTGAATGAAGCCTATTGAAATACTCTAAAATATTAAATCCAGCATTCATCTCTCCACACTAGCATCCTGAAAATACTGTATAGGACAGTTTGTACCACAGATTCTAGATTTTGATTGGTTGAAATTCCAAGGTGTTGATTACTTTATGTAATCAATTTATTATTGATGCAAGCAATAGTTGAGTATTTGGGGCATGAAAACATGAAAAGTGTTGTGAGATGAATGCATGTACATGTTTCACAAATTTCAGCATTTGTCCATGTGCTCCACTGGTAGAGCATGCTACTAGTAATGGAAAGGTCACAGATTGCACATTCTGATATTTATGCACTGCAAGCCACCTCAGATGAAAGAGTCTGTCAGATGAATGAATGTAAATGTCAAATGCATAAACTGATGGTAATCTTGAAATCTGAGCATGGTCTTTAATCTGTTTCATTCTTGTGTTTCAGATCTATAACGAGATGATAAGAGACCTGCTGAATCCATCATCTGGGTTTCTGGACTTGAGAGAGGACTCGAAGGGAGAAATTCAGGTCGCAGGAATCACAGAGGTCTCCACCATTAATGCACGAGAGGTCAGTTAGACACATTATTTAGGCCCCATGTTACTTTACAATAATATTTTAAAACAATGTTTTTTTTTTTCTTAAAGTAAATAAGTACTGTTACAGTAGTCATTGTTCATGTTCATTTTAAAAACATACATAAAAACATATGATACTTCATTGAAAAAAACTGGTGTATATTTAAATAAGTATTTAATAGTGAATCCTTAATTCAACAGGGATGCGTTTAATTGATCAAAAGTGACAGTAAGGCCATTTTTAATGTTACAAAAGATTTTTCAAAATGAATGCTATTCTTTTTATTGATAAAAATTTTGAAAAAAATGTATCACAGTTTCCACAAAAATATTAAGCAGCACAATTGATAAAATAAAAAACAGTTATTTTAAATTATAATAATATTTCACATTGCTGTTTTACTGCATTTTTGAACAAATAAATGCTGCCATGGTGAGCATTAGAGACTTCCTTCAAAAAAAATCTCATCAACCTCAGACTTATGAATGGTACTGTGGAGCTGAATGTTGAGTTTTTTCTCTGTTTTCACTCTCTCTCAGGTCATGGAGTTGTTAATGAAAGGAAACAAGCAGAGAACTCAAGAGCCGACAGCAGCCAATCAGACGTCTTCTCGCTCTCACGCTGTGCTGCAGGTGGGCGTGCGGCAACAGAGTCGATGTCGAGACATCCTGCAGGAAGTGCGATTCGCACGTCTCTTCATGATCGATCTGGCAGGGTCTGAACGGGCTTCACAGGTATGATGATGTGTGTGAGGTGGGATATTTGTAGGTGTGAAACATAAAGGTCTATTCCTCTTTTAGTTTAGTTAGAACATAAAAGCACAGTGGGTGAGCTCAGACGTATGTCTATAAAGTTGGTAATCATTAATATCAGAGCTATCAATCCTTCTTTTTAAATAAAAGCTGGCAGAGTTGGCGCCAGATATATTCAGAATCATATATCAGCCAGTGACGAGGGAACAATTCCAAGAGTTTTAAGTTTAACTATCGGTGATAAACTTGGAGGGGAAATGAAGCCATCCAAGATGAAAATATTTGTTGATTATTAAATACATTATGATGCATGAGACACATCCACAAGTCCAGTGAGGTGTTTTTTATTTTTTAATATTAAAGTGTATTTACACTCACTGCATGAGATGGGAAGATATGAGAGAACAATGAAAGACATGTGAATCATTTTTAATATTAAAGTGTATTTACACTCACTGCATGAGATGGGAAGATATGAGAGAACGCATTTAGAGAGAGCGTCCCATGTATTTGCCATGTAAACGGTTAAAAATGTTGACCACTCAGGCCCACCTTGGGTTTAAACATGCATGTGACCGGCACAAAAGCAGATCACGTTGTTTCTGGTTATGGGGCATTGTTGCTCAGAAACATGAGTGCTTGTTTGTTCTCTATTGATGAGGAAGACAAGCCTGTTGCACAACTATTCAGAAAATGAGACATACAAGAGCGCCCCCTGCTGGAACAGACTTCCTAACCTAGACTGACAGTTTAATGACTGTGCAATAACTACTGTTTCTACTTTCAGACGCAGAACAGAGGTCAGAGGTTAAAAGAGGGAGCTCATATCAACCGCTCTCTGCTCGCACTGGGGAACTGCATCAATGCTTTGAGCGAAAAGAATGGCAACAAATACGTCAACTATAGAGACAGCAAGCTCACGCGATTGCTCAAGGTACAGAGAAGCGAATCTTCATGAACAAAGCTGCTTGTGGGATGTTTTTCTTGATTGTGGTTGTCTTACTAGGGTTTTCTCATGTTTGCAGGATTCTCTAGGAGGAAACAGTCGGACGGTGATGATTGCCCATATAAGCCCTGCATCTCTAGCCTTCGAGGATTCACGGAATACCTTGACTTATGCCGACCGTGCCAAAAGCATCCGCACACGGGTTAGTTTAACACGACAAATCAATGGACAACCTAGTAACCTAGCTACTTAGTAACCTAGCTTTTACCGTTCAAAAGTTTGGGTCAGTAAGATTTTCTTTTCTTTGTCAGTGAGATTGTTGCATTATTTTTGTGACACATTTTGTGATGCCTTTTCTCAAAATGTAACTGTTTTGTGAAGAGTTTGGTCACTGTTATATCTTACCAGACTGTACCCTGTTATTCTCCCTGTGCAGGTTAAGAGAAATCTGTTGAATGTGTCCTATCACATCGCCCAGTACACCAGCATCATCTCTGACCTGCGTAGCGAGATTCAGCGGCTGAAGAAAAAGATCGCAGACCAGGCCAGCAAACAGCTCAATCCGGACAGAACAGACATCCGCCATGTTCAAGGTAACATCCTGTCTGTAAGAAGTGAAGTGATGTGTACCATTGATACCACCTCAATTTTTCTTTGAATTCCCAACTATTCTATTCTATTCGATTCCGTTCTGTTCTGTTCTGTTTTATTCTATTCTAGTCTAGTCTAGTCTAATCTATTCTATTCTATTCTATTCTATTCTATTCTATTTAAATCTAATAAATTATTTTCTGCTTAATTAGATTATTTTCCATTTGAGTAGACTATTTTCTAAATTATTCTGTTCTATTCTATTCTAATAAATTATTTTCCATTTGATCAGTTTATTTTCTAATTGATTCTGTTCTGTCATATTCTATTCTAATCTAATTTGTTTCTGTTAGTTTGATTATTATCAATTATAATAATTGATTCTATTCTATTCTGTTGTTTTCTTTTTGATTAGATTATTTTTAATTGATTCTAGTCTATTCTGTTCTATTGTATTTTCTGTTTGATTAGATTCTTTTCTAAATGATTCTGTTCTGACATATCATGTTCTGTTCCAATAGATTATTTTCTGTTTGGTTAGATTCTTTTCTAAATGGTTGTATTATATTCTATTATGTTATATTCTATGCGGTAACACTTTAGAATAGGGAACACTTATTCACTATCAACTACGACTTTTCCCTCAATGAATTCCTAATTTGCTGCTTATTAATAGTTAGTAAGGTAGTTGTTAAGTTTAGGTATTGGGTAGGATTAGGGATGTAGAATAAGGTCATGTAGAATAAGGCATTAATGTGCTTAATTAGTACTAATAAATGGCTAATATTCTAGTAATATGCATGCTAATAAGCAACTAGTTAAGAGACCCTAAAATAAAGTGTTACCGTATTTAATATATTATTTTGACTGTATTGTTTCATTAGATTCTTTTCTAAATTTTCACTGATAAGTTTCAGCATAGATTGTTTTCTATTCTATTCTATTCTGTTCTCACTCAAATGTGTATCATAACATTATTTTTTTGTGTTTGCCTCTAGCGGAGGTGCAGGCTCACTCTTCTCAGCAGAGCCGGGCTGAGATGGACCAACTGTGGGAGCAGCTGATCGATGCGTTTAGACAGCAGATGGACATCAGGAAGCGTCTTATGGAGCTGGACAACAGCAACATGGAAATCCAGATAGACACATCCAAACACCTGCTGACAATCGCAGAGTGAGTCTTCATTCTGCACACAAACCAGAACTAAATTACAGCTAAATACACAGTGGCCCTAAAGCTATTTGGACATTTAAGTCAGAAGGTGGGCAAATAATAACAGTGTTGTCACTGGTTTCATCATTTCAGACTGAACAAACTTCTTTTGTGAAAGGTTTTATTTGAAACATTTGCTTGCCATCTTTCTTTCGAATAAATGCTTGGTTATTGAAATATTGTCTGTCTCCATCTAGCTGGGAGCAAGAACGCTTCAGGAGAAGAAAGAAGTGGCAGGGCGAGAGGAGGAAGGAGAGTTTTAATAAGGATGAAAGTGAGAAAGACTCAGACTCACCAGAATCTTTGCCTGACAGCACAGAGACACAAGAGGTGGCCATTGCCAGAGATAACCTCGTCACGCTCATGGCTGAGCAGAAGAAAATACAAAAACAGAAGGTAATGTTCTTACTAGCCACTAGAGTGTGGAACAACACCTCAAAAAACTCACAGTTCTGTCCTGGAGCGATAGCCTTGATGTCTGACTCCTTTTAGCAAATCAGTTAGTTCAGTCAGTTCATTTCAGTGAACTTGTTATAATCATTCATTTTCTAGTTAAATAAATGATATATAACTATGTTACAAAACAAAACAAAGTTCCTACAATCCAGTAATTTTCATATGTGACCCTGGAGCACAAAAGCAGTCTTAAGTCGCTGGGGTATATTTGTAGCAATAGCCAAAAATACATAGTATGGGTCAAAATTATTGATTTTTCTTTTATGCAAAAAATTCATTAGGATATTAAGTAAAGATCATGTTCCATGAAGATATTTTGTAAATGTCCTACTGTAAATTAAAACGTAATTTTTGATTAGTAATATGCATTGCTAAGAATTCATTTGGACAAATTTAAAGGCGATTTTCTCATTATTTAGATTTTTTTGCACCCTCAGATTCCAGATTTTCAAATAGTTGTATCTCGGCCAAATGTAGTCCTATACAAACCATACATCAATGGAAAGCTTATATATTCAGCTTTCAGATGATGTATAAATCTCAATTTCGGTCACACATACTTGGTGAATCTCTTTAATCAAATCATGATTCATTCAAATTGATCTGTTTGCCAGACATGCCTATCACTGTAGCCAAGATAAAACTACTGTATGAGATACTTAATACTGAAATGGATGCAAATATTAAAAAGACATTAGCTCTGTTCCAAAATCTGGTAAACTGGCAACATAGGCATTTGTCTTTTAAGGCAACATCCTAAATAAACTGATTTGGAACACTCTGCGTAGGCAGTGCATATTACCTTCTTCTTCAGTGCATATTTCCTTTCTGCTTTTAGACTGAGACTCCTTATAAGCAAAGATAATTTGTACATGACTTGCAATGTTAATAAAGTGACTCATCACATTAATTAACCATAGTTCTGCCATTCTCTTTAGGCTGGATTAGAGCAGCGCCTGGCAGAGCTCAGAGAGAAAGCACGCCGTCTTGAAGAGCTTCTCCCCCACCGCGTGAGCTCAGAGGAGCAGAGGGAAGTGCTTTGCCTCCTCTGCAAGGTTCACGAGCTGGAGATCGAGAATGCAGAGATGCAGTCCAGCGCGCTGCTCAAGGACAACGTGATCCGACAGAAAAACGTGGTAGTGCAGCGTTTCGAACAGCACAGACACCTCTGCCATGAGATCATCCAGCAGCAGCGGAAATTTATTGCTGGTGAGTTATTCACAGGAATAAGAAATGGCACAGAAATCTCAGCCAGAGATGAATCAGGCCAAACTGTTGCAGTAAAGTTTTGCAAATGATGCAATATGAGGATTCAGTTCAAGTTTAAATATATATATACCTTCTTGTAGAAAAATAAATGTTATAAGAAGTTAAGGTGAATGTTTTTGCAGATCACAGTCTCCTGGTTCCTCCTCACCTTCAAGAGCTTTATGAGATGTACATGAAGGAAATGGATGAGAAGAACTTGGACAGAGTCGTGGCCCTGGATAAGTTCACCATTCGTACTTTTAAGGTACGTCAAGCAGGCATTTTTAAAGTCAGCATGAAATCAAAACAGACTCTGTTTAATTTGTGAATACACATTACTGCTTATATTTTGCACAAAACATCGGTGCACATTATTCCAAAGAAACAAAATCCTGCCTAACATTTTCCTTCACCTGGAATTGCATCACGTTATGACAGTAAAATGAGTTTCATGATGACTTTAAACACTCGTCAAGAGAGGGACATGATAAAATCATACAGGAACAGAGTGATCACGAACATATATGGCATATATCTCTGTAGGACGGTTCCCTGCCCAAGATCACCCTCCCCAGTAGAGGTCGTGACCCCTTGCAAGAGATGGATTCAGACCAAGAGAGTGTTCACACACTGGGTTCAGACAACAGGGAAGGGCGGACGAAATTGAGGAGACACACGCTGCCTCCGATTCTCCCAGAGCCTGATGGGTAAGAAGAGCTCAAAGCTAATTCATTTGATGCTTTTTGTTGACATTTCCGTTCATTTCCTTTTAACATTTAATGGCCAAAAAATTTTAATTTTGTGAATATGAAAATAAAAAGAGCAAGGAACATTATGCATTCACAAGTGCACAGCAGACATAAAGAGAACTGTAATATAAACGACCTCCCTCATTTTACGTTAAAGGGGTCTGAGTTTGTTCACATGCTTTTACTTATAAGTTAAAATTTTTCTCCTGCCCATACAGAGACCGAGTGTTTAAGAGTAGTCACAAACAGATGAAGAACTCTGTAGTAATGACTCCTCCACCCATTCACATCAATGGCCAGGGCAACAGAGGGGTGAGCTTCTGGGAGTTTACATTTGTGACTTATTTTGATATAGTGTTTTTTTTTTTTTTAAAGATTATACACTAATGTTCAAAAGTTTGGTGTCAGTAAGTATTTAACAAAATGATTTCTATTTCAAATATTTTGTTTTTTCTTTTTAAACCAAAAGAGCTCCAAATCAACATATGTGACCCTGGAGCACAAAAGCAGTCTTAAGTCGCTGGGGTATATTTGTAGCAATAGTCAAAAATACATTGTATGGGTCAAAATTATTGATTTTTCTTTTATGCAAAAAATCATTAGGATATTAAGTAAAGGTCATGTTCCATGAAGATATTTTTGTAAATTTCCTACTGTAAATATATTAAAACTTAATTTTTGATTAGTAATATGCTAAGAACTTCATTTGGACAACTTTAAAGGCGATTTTCTCAATATTTAGATTTTTTTGCACCCTCAGATTCCAGATTTTCAAATAGTTATATCTTGGCCAAATATTGTCCTATCCTAACAAACATACATCAATGGAAAGCTTGTTTATTCAGCTTTAAAAAAATTGACCCTTATGACTGGTTTTGTGGTCCAGGGTCACATATTAGAATGATTTCTGAAGGATTATGTGACACTGAAGACTGGAGTAATGGCTGCTGAATAATCAGCTTTGCCATCACAAAATCATGGAAAGTGAATATTCTGTTTAATCTACATTTTAATTGGTTTCTCTGTTTTTTAACTGAGTGTAATGAATAAATGAGTGTGTCTGACACAATGCTGACTGTATCTCTGCAGCTGTTGCCATCTGTCCTGGATGACGCTCTGAGATGCAGCCATCTCAGTCACAGTATGAGCAGCCATCTGGACTCCTCGCCTGAGAGCAGCGAGAACGGCACAGATGCCCCTCTGACTCCTAAAGGTAAGAGTTCCTCTGCTCTTTCATCTTTGTGCTTGTTACACAGCTCTCTGGAACACTTGATTCTGATTGGTCAGTTGAGGCATTCTGCGGGCTGTTATTTTTATACAGTGACTGCTAAACTATAGCAACCCAATTCCTACATGGCTTCTTCTCATATAATGTATTAATGGCAACTTACATAATGTCTATTTAATTAGTCATAGTTTCAAAATCCCCTGAACTATTTTCCCTCCAGAGAGACAGCAGATTCTAAGAGGTGTGCAGAACATTGCGGTCAAGGCTGCTCGCCGCCGCTCTAAAGTGCTAGAAATAGATGCCCTGCGATTGCCCCCGCCACCTTCACCCCTAGATCCCAAGAAGCACAAGAGTAACCTGTCTTTGACCGAGGCGCCCCCTAAAGGCCTGGTGCTACGGCGTGGAAGACAGCCCAGTCCAGAGCTATGCCACGCCACCTCTGATGACAACCTGTCCAGCAGCACGGGAGAGGGACCCGCACCCAGCGGCACATGGACTCGGCCGCGGAACCGGCAAGCTGTTAAGAACCCCGCTCCACGAGAGCAGGACTTTGAGGGTCGCAGACGCAAGAGGAGATCTCGATCGTTTGAAGTCACAGGACAAGCAGTGAGTTTTTAGACAAAGGAGCTTCTGTGTTAACATATCGAGGCTAATGGATGAATCTCACAAAACTTGTTCAGGTCATAATTTACCCCAAAAGGAGGAGAAGTTGTATCTTGCATAATTAAAATTAAATGCATTTTTAGGACCATTTATTTTCATGACAATTAAGCATATTGTGTTAATGTAAGCGGCAAGGCAGAATTTTCAGCAGTCATTACTTTAGCCTTTAAGATTACTTCCAGTGTCACATGATCCTTCAGATCATTCTAATATTCTGATTTGGTGGAGAAATAAAATATCTTATTATTATCAGTGTTGAACACAGTTTAGCTGCTTCATTTTTTGATATATTATGAATGGCTTTACTAGTACTTTTGATCAATTTAATGCCTAAAGGCTGAATAAAAGTATTCATTTCTTTTTAAAAAAATCTTGCTGGCCCCAAACTTATGAATGGTAGTTTATAAATATTTTACAATTTAAATAGTAGGCCATTAATATTTAGGAATAAAAGGCAGTTGTGCTTAACTGATGTGAAAATACTATTATAATGCAAAAACGTTTATTGCTTCCAAAACAGACTTTAAAATATAATTTCTCATAATACTTTCCTTTGATTTTAAGGTAAAATATGACCCAGACATTCTGTTGACACTCAAATTTAGTTACATTTTATTAAATATATTGCATTTATTTATTTATTTATTTTCAGATTTATGTATTTATTTATTTATTTTAATTCAGACTATTTGCAACAAACTCAATATTTTCTCCACCCCATAGTTGTCTCAGGCTAAGAACACCAGCCAGCGATTTCGTCCCCTGGACAGCACTTCTGATCCCCACCTGCACATTAACGGTCATCCCCCAGCCCCCCTTCTGCGCCCCCAACACAGAGCCCAGCCTCAGCTTACAAAAATTCGACCCTCTCACAATATCCACCCAACAGGTCTGATATCACAATAAATGTATCCATTTATTCCAAGATAAACCTATAATTTATTTCATCCAATTTGTGTTCAGTGAAGACCAATGAGATTTTATTTTTTTGGAAATGCACAGATGTGTTGTGTTGGACTAAGAACAAGTATTAAGAAAATGAGTCAATTTTGATTTCCTGTTGACCTTTATTAATTTTCCATAGGATCAGCAGCAGATGTCACTTCCTCCAACCTGCCCTCCCACCTCATCAAGCGTGGCCCTCAAACCAGGCAACTTCAGCCCCTCCTGTACGTCACAACCACTGGAACAGGGGGCCAGCGCACCCGCAAACACTAAAGAGGCCCAAAAGCCCTGGCCTAAGCATAGACTGTCTCCTCTCGACCCCAGCATCAGCACTATGGAACCAGTAAAACATGTAGAGACCAAGTAGAAGGTTTCTTCTTATATCCAAATTGAAAAGCTGCACCATGAAAAAAAAAAACATTAATGAAAACTGGGCTACAAAGAAGACCATGTAACCCTATTGTGCTGCCTGAGTTTTTACAAAATTTCTCCGAGCCTTTCTCTGAAGATGTCAGCTTTTAATTTTTTGAATCCATTGGCTTATGTAAGTTGCAAAAAATGATTGTCATGAATTCAATGGCCTTGACTTGTGTAAAAACTTTAACACAATGACATGCAAACATAGTTTAAAGCCGAGCCAATGCGACAGTGAATAAAACCTGCCTCAGATGCCTTCCGATTGAATATGTATATCAGGCCTTATAGTGACAACTGAAATTCATTAAGCAGTTCCCAAAAACATATTTATCTCTGCAGAACTGAAACGGTGTTGCTTGTTTATGCGACTAAGGAATCAGATATACCCCTCTCATTCCCCAGGGAGCAATATATATTTCGCAGCTTCTCTGGCTGTGAAAGTATTGCTCCCTCAGGCCTTGCACAAATGAATGTACTGTCACATTGCTTATGATTCATATGTCTGGCTTCTGTGACCGTTCCATTTACTGATGTCATTTTGTGTTTACTGGTAATAATCAATGTAAATTTGCCTGCACTGTCATGCAGGTTTCAGCGTAGCTGTTTTCTCTAAAATCCTTTTGGGTTTGTGTTAGTTCTTAGTACCAGACAAGGTGGTATACTGTATTTAACATAGTTCATACCCTCAGTGGAATGTTTTTAATCAAAAAAGGGAAAAAAAAGAGACCGTATTGAAAAAGACTGTAATTGTGTTTTGTTTTTCGGAATTATACATGCATAGGCATTTTTTTCTACTCTTAATTTTATACCTTTTTTGTAACCAAATAAATTTGACTGACAAAGTGATTGCAGTAGTGTATGCATTGTACATATACACCTACATTATATACATTTTTGTCAAGGTCAGTTTTAAGGATGTCATGTTGTGGAGAGAAGTCTTAGAGGAAAATTATGCTCAGGAGGCAGAGTTCCAGAAGTCAAAATTAGACTTCATTGCAAGAAGACAACAAAGCTGAGATGCCTGCAGAATATCTGAATCTTTCTCTGTCCATACTACCATCTTTGTAGTTATTGGTCACTGTCCAATGAGCGTACAGACCTTTATTTGAATACGTCATTCCCGGTACTTTCCACAAATGTTTATTATTTTTCATAACATTTGCTTTCATTGTAGCAAACCACCTGCTAGTCTGTTTTCCAAAAGTTAACTTCTCTTATCTACCACTTTCCGGGTGCCTAAGATTGCAGAGCCATATACATTTTAGGATTTTAATGAGCTGTCAGGATTTTAATGAGTATTCATCCTGAGTTTTCATTTTAATGAGATCTCATCTTGTGGCATCTCCCATCTCCGTTACTTCCTTCTGTATTCTCCATTCATAAGCACAGTCACGTAGGCCAAGAGGCCTACACAGTGAGTCAGTTTGGCCTTGGGGCCTTCAAATGCACCCAGCTCACATATGAGGCAAACTAACTTCCACAAACATGCAAAGTAATTTCTTAAATTGTTTTCTATAGGATAAATAAAATATTTCATCAGTCATAGTACACAAATGTTTCCCATTTAGGAACATACAGTAGTAGTTCAGAAGCATATGATCACTCAAAATACTGTATCCTTTACGCTTTAAACAACAGTACTGACTGTGTTCCTGTACTGTCAGCACAATGCAGCGTGTATCATTGTTTTCTTTTTGGCACCATGTCAGTGGATATCAGGACTAAATGTCAATATTTCAGTGTAAACAATTTCTCCTATTTCCAGTGACCAAGCAAAACAATGCAAGCGTAGCAAAATACCTAGCACAGTGGGTATTGCATCATCAAGTGCTTGAGCTACTGAGAAACTGCAAGGCATTGTATGTCTAAACTGGGTATACAATTTAAAAGTATTGTAAAAATAAATTGGTAAAAAATTAACTATAGAGCACAGATGTATAATATATATTATATTATACATCTGTGCTCTATAGTTCAAAATATAATATAATATAATTTAATATACTATAGACCTGTAGGTCAACGGCAGGTGGGGTCGGAGGTGTGTTGATGACGTCAAACACAAACTACACAACCAATCAGCGAAGTCCTACAAGTTCTGAGGCTCGTGATTGGCTTGCTTGACTCCGACGAATCACGAGTCTCGTAACTTGTAGCGCTGCGCTGATTGGTTGAATGACTGGTCGGTCCAGCTGATGGCAGAGGCGCAAGTAGTGTTGACAACGCCGTCCTAGATCCCTTCTCTATTCATTTTTTTCCTAAAGGATATTTATTTGGAAAGAACAAAGCGAATTTGGAGGAAAGGAAAGACATGTCTTAATGTATATCATACGTAAGTGCATTTCCTTGTTTAAGCTTGAGGGAAAGCTGTTAGCCAGTTAGCGTTAGCTGTCAGTGTTTACTCACCGACCGCAGCGAACAAAACTCATTATTTCATCGATAGTTTTCACATTGGGTTCTAGTATTTCATGTATATTAAACATATGTATTCTATTTTAAAGAAAAAAAAAAGAAGGAGCGAAAGCCCAACCCATCCTTTATTGACCAGCACGCTCTACATGTCGGGTGCAAGCGACCTCCTGCACGCGCAGTGACATTTTGCGTTAAAAAAAAAAATCCTGTTTTTTGCAGACTGTTTTACAGGTAGCTGGCAGCACACTGTCACGCTTTACAAGCTGCGTTCTCTAATGTATTCTTATCTGCGCTTACCTTTGTACTCCCTTTTCCCCTTCTCTCTGCTTCAAAGCATCTTAAAGGTGTTATCAGTCTTGACATGGGAAGCTTTGCGGACAATGTTTAAAACAAGTTTTAGAAAGTTTAATAGTTGCATATGTGGGGGGAACAATTATAATATATATTCAACTATTCTGATGTATAGATATGTTTCTTTGCACTAGTGATGGAAGATAAAAGGAAGAGCAGCGATTGCTTGTGTCTACTTTGGAAGCCCGTTTCAGCCACGGAATTAAATGGAGTAAAAAAAAAAAATAAAAAAAATTGCGACCTTTATCTCACAATTCGGACTTTGTTTTTAGCAATTCTGAGAACAAAATTCAGAGAGAGAAATAAAAAATTAGTTGCTAGATGTAAACTCAGAATTAGATAGATTCTCTATGGGGTTCAGGTCTGGTGAGTTTGCTGGCCAGTCAAGCACACCAACACCATGGTCATTTAACCAAC